GCGGAGGGATGAAATGTTGAGTTCCCCGGCAATATAGTGTGGACCTTTTAACCTCTAGATTCGAACAAAAATATATCTGGATCTGTTCAGAGCTTGATTGTTGTTGTGGTTATCGATCATAAATATTCATATTTACATATACCAATATACAATAGCTTTCAACACTACAGAGAACTCTGGGATTTTGTTTTCTCTCTCGCTCTTTTTTCCCTCTCAGCCAAAAATCCAAACTTATTCAATTCTATTCACATGTATTCAGTTTGCAAGAAGCCAGAGAAATGTATATACAGATTTTGGCCAACCCAGTTCGAGTTCGAGCCAATATTGCAAATAATGCTTTGTCGGTCAAGCACAAAACAAAGAATATACGCCATGTTGTGACCAGCTGAAACCAAGTTTGCTAATCTCTTTGTATAGATGGCTCTTTAAGAAGCTAATGTAACAAAAATTCCAACCTTCAAGGATTTAAGTTGCATTTAAGTTATTTTTGTATTACATGCTACCTACCATTTAGCAGCATCTTGAATACGATTGGTTTAAGTTGACTACAAGAAATGAAAATGTCACTCCGGGTAATGATTAGAGTGAGTTTTCAAAGCATCTACACTTTCATAAAATATTAGGAATTGAAAATTGAGAAAGTTAACCTGAAGATCATCCTTGAAATAGTGTGCCTTTGGATAGTGTGCCTTTATTCAGTATATACTGATTTAGGATATGTCAGGGAAACCTCAACCAGTCTAAAGTATCAAATCATAGGACAGGTCGTTTCAATATATGAGCCCTACCTTTTTCCGAAACCACCATTTTTTTTTCTTGGAAATTCTGTCACACTCTATCGACAAATCCCGCATCTATCCATGATGAAGGAACCTGATACTCGCGAAGTCAATGTATTCACACCGTCCAGATATTAACAAGCGAATGCTACGTTGCACCCTAAATACCTACCTGCCTGGAGGGACATCATGCGTATGGCCTTCAAGGCTCCGGAGGCTTATGGTTTTCCATCCCAGGGAGTTCACACTTGATCACAGCATGGTCTAAAGCTCAGAAATGGAGTTTTTGATAATTCATGACTAGCTCCGAGATGGAGCAAGTTTGATTCATTTATTTTATTTCCAGAATGAAAATGATAAGCTCCGGTCTTTGCAGTCACCACAGACCTTTTATTAAAGCCCCACTGTACTGCTTATAGCTACTTCCGCCCTCTATAGAGCAAACAATGGCTAATCGGTGACCATTGGTCCCCCATGGCCCCCTTTTTCTTATGTTAATTGAGAGCTGATATGATGAGATAACCACATGTCAGTGACCATGCAGGGAGGTCCAATCCCTCCTTGCCAAACTAGTGCAGATAGGCTTCGATAGATGTATATATATATATATATATGAAGAGCCAGAAGAATGTTAGCTTGTGTACTTAAAGACAGAGTTAAAGCTCTTCTGGCTATCGATCAAATGATACCCTGTTTATATCTGTGTATATTCCGTATCACTCTGTGTCACACCAGAAAAAGGTCTGAGTAATTAAACGCAGTGTTACCTTCAGAGTTTACCTTGCTTCATGCTTTTTAGTGTAAGCATTTATAGTTAAAACCAGGGGTGACATGTCTGGATTTTTTTTTTTTTTTTTTTTTTTTAAAATCATTTTGACCCGATACTTTTTGCTGATACCAACCAAAGGTGCGAAGGTGTCGCTCCGATCTTCCGATCAGATCAAAGCCTCAACTTTCAGGGTTAGAAGAGGGTCTAAACTCTATTTAAATTTGGATTTATAACTCCCTTCTGGCTCTTAATTAACAGACAAAAGTATATTCCATTACAAAATAAAGATTGATATTCAGATGACCACAGTTCAGAACAATGCATCAGGGAGAGATGTGGGGTTAAATGTGAACGTAGTTTCCCCCCATAGCAAGAAGTAGGCCTACCCCAGCTACCACTCAATTGTCGCCTTGAAATATGATATGCCATTTTTTTCCTTGAAGGGGGTTTGATGATGGAGAGACAATTTTATTCAGGGGAGTAATTTTAGACTTGCCGACAGGCCCTTGTTGAGGAGAGAAAGCGCTCAGGCAAAGACCTGGACCAAACTCATCCTGTGATTATTAATTTCAATGTGTCTAGCTGTCTTCTTCATTTCTCAGTAAAAAGATTATTGAAAATTGAATTTATTCTCTCCCCCCCCCCCCCCCCCCCAGTATCATTACCTCTCCCTTCCTCTCCCTGTCCTCTCTCCCTCGTGTTTCCTCCTTGTATCTACGTCATGCTATTTTTCTCTCCCCCCCCCCCTTCTCTCTCTCTCTCTCTCTCTCTCTCTCTCTCTCTCTGTCTCTTTGAGAAAAACATAAAGGAGTAAATTCATTATACAACACACAAGTCTATACCAGTAATGATTTTATGAGGCAACTTATATATATTTCAATTAGTTGTAGAATATGGTTATCTCAAATATTTACTTTTTTTTTCTTTTTTGTATTTTTGTTTTTATTGAAAATATAACTCAACGACATCGCATTCAGTAATAACATATCAATTCGAATATTTACATTCAATGAAATATCATATAAAATAGTTGCTCTATTGTGTCTTAGTGCATACTAGATGTAAGGTCCTTGTCTAGTATAAGATAACACCAAACTTTTAAGGGTTATATGTATATTTTTTGTGTTTGCTGTATCAGCGCTCTGATCAGTATTCTGTAAAAGCGCTTAATAAGAATCAGTTATTTTTATATTATTAATATTATTGTTAGTAAACAAGCGCGAGTGATGATTTTAACCCGTTAAAACCAATTCAATCCAGTTTTAACCAGTGTCAACCAGTTTGCCTTGGTTCTTATCAGTCCACTTTGCTTCTGTTTCCCTACAGACCTGCGTAAACAGTTCCTCCAGATGCCACTGGACCACAGTGTGCCCCTCCACGACAAGTTCCATCTCCTGTGCCGGGCACCAGAGGGCGTCCCAGAGCCGACCATCCATTGGGAGATGGACGGAGTGCCCATTGACGACGAGAACCTCGTTCATTACGTGGTGACGTACGACGGGACCCTCATCGTCAATGAAGCTACACTGGCAGATAACGGCAACTATACTTGCGTGGCCACCAATGTTGCCACTTACAGAACAACAGATCCAGCTCGTGTCATTGTATACGGTAAGAACACTTTCTGTTTCAGAACAACTGCAGAATACCCTAACTTCTAATTATCACCCTGATGCATCACTTAATGCTAACCCTTACCCTAACCTTAAATTAATTTAATTGTACTAGTTGGGTATCTATCATGCAGTTAATCAAGTTTCCACTATTTTGCAAAAATTGAAATCATTCCTAACCAAGTTTGGCCGAAAAAAACAGTTACAGATTCTCAAGAGTTGTTGCCCAGAAGCTCATGAGGAAGCAGATGAGTCAGTAGATAAGGAATTGTTCTGGGAATCGGTAGGTCCAGGCCTGTTAGTTTGATGATGATGATGATGATGAACAGCATTTGTATGGCACCATATATTTGTTTAAAAAAACATTCAAAGGTGCCAGCTCCTCCAATAAAATTAGCATTTAAATGTCTGAAGAAGATGCGAGTTTTGAGTGAAGCTTTGAAGTGGTCCAGGTTGTCAATTTCCCGAATAGATGATGGGAGGGAATACTAGAGTCATTGGTCATTCATCACCAAGTCCTTTGGATAGGACCAACTGCTGCAGGTTTCCTGGTTGCTTCCTAGCCTGTAATCATCAACAGTCATACATTTTTAGGTGTTGGCTAAGACAACATCAATAATAATAATATTAATTCCGCTTTCATAAAACACTTAATACATATCTATGAGTATGATGTCTCTAAGCGCTTTACAAATATACTATTACCTTGGTCATTGGATTCAATACTTGCCCACAATCTCCACTCCCTGGGGAGCCTTCCAGCCAGGCGTTACTTGACGCTCAAAAACTGTTTGACCAACAATGACGGTCGCATCCTACCGGGTACCCATTTACCACCCGTGTGGAGAGTAGCAAGTGCAGGTAAATATCTTGCCAAAGGATATAAAGTGCCGTGTCGGGATTCGAACCCTCGACCTTCGCTTCTCCAGTCAAGCGCTTTAAAACCACCAACACCAACAAGTAGAGAATCATCAACAACAGCATCAACATTTTCCAAATGGGCTTTTATTTTGACATCCTGTAGATAATACAAACGATGGAGCGTGGACGATCTGGACAGAATGGAGCACCTGTACCGGAGACTGCGACGGAGGGACCAGGAGGAGGATGAGATACTGCACCAACCCTGCCCCTGTCATCGACGGAGCTAACTGCGTGGGAAAGGCAGTGCAGACCGAAGACTGTTCAATCGATTGCCCAGGTAGGAAATCTTAGTTCAATATCCTCCCAAGCCGTGAAATATTTCAAAGACCTTTGAAAAGTTCATTTGTTTTCAATGCATTGAAATGAACAACTTGATGTATCGTGGTCGAGTGGATACGTCACCAGACTGTCGATCACACGGTCCGCATTTCGAGTCCCGCCACAGCACTAATGTCCTTTGGCAAGACATTGATCTACATTTGCCACACTCAACGCAGGTGGTGTAAATGGGTACTTGGCAGGAATTAATTCCTTGAAATGCTAGAACGCTGTAATGGCAGCCGTGCTAAAGCCAGGGTAATAATCTCCCTCTGCGCCTCAGAATAGTTTACTAGATCGATGGCGCAAAATAAATGCTGAAGTATTATTATTATGTGCTGATAGCATCATCTCTTCAAAGCCAATGCCCTTCTAGCTTTCAGCGGACGATATCATCTTCATTACCGTCCTTACCACTGTTTCCCACTGCTTTGCTACCTGCAGCTGCAGCCATCGGTTGGAGTGAATGGAGCATGTGGTCTCGCTGCACGGACGAGTGTGTACAGATCAGAACCAGGACCTGCACCAGGCAATGTTCGGGCGAACCGCAGCAACGGAGGAACTGCTCTGGAGGACTCTGTTTAAGTGAGCCACCACGTATGTGTCTCCCTCTATACCAATTTCATTTGAAGGGCCATATGTACAGTAATGGCGAGTGTTGCAGCTCTGGGAAAGAACCCAATTACCATTTGCCTATACACAATTTGTAAAAAATCTATTTACTAAAATTCACTTACAAGTATCATTAACAAAAAGAAAAACGAGCAAAAATTTAGGTTGAATGCAAGCAATGAACAGGGCTTGTTTTCAAGATCTGGTCTATTTAATTTTGACATACTGTTACCAATTGTTATAGGCTTGCCAATACTGTACATACATGTAGGCTTCATCTTATACCTCCGTTTTTTTAGTGTCGCCCTCCCCTTCCCATCCCCACCCCTCCCCCCTCAATCCATTGTCAAATATTGAACCCAATCAGTCTTATTGTAAAGTCTAGTCAGTTACCCCTTTGAGAATGCATTCTTCTTGTAGGCCCTTTGTTCTCCTTGTACAATGCCTCGAACAATACTATTTCCCCCTGTTAAATTGTTAAGTTCATATCTAAGATTGCTCTATTTATCACCAAATAAGTAAATGGTATCCCTCAATTGCATCCTGTGATTTTTTTTATTTGTGGTATTATTTTAAAATATAGTGATATCATCGTTTTTATTTGGGTCGCTTTTTACCTTATCAAGGTAATTTATAGAAGAAAACGGAAACTAGAGATCAAATTGACTTCTCCCATCATTGTTTAGTATTACTGTTCGAGCTTTTGATCAGTTATATTAAATTTGGTAAGGCCCAATATAAGAAATGAGTTATATTTTTGAAGTGTTTTGGAATACTTTTTTTTAATCCTCTTTGAGTAGACAACATGAAGTAATACTGGCTATATAGTGATCACCTCAAAGAAATAGGATATCATAAGAACATATATCATTTGTTATGCATTTTCATGAGATAATCCTTTGCTTTTAATGGAAAAAAGGGATGCAGGTGAAAGTACGCTCACTTCTCTAGTCTTCCAGGATGCGGTCGTTGAATTTTATTTATAAGTTTGAGCAGATATTGAAACTACTCACTCCCTAACACACTGGGGTTTTAATATGTAGGACTTACACCTACATATATGCATGCACTCTCTAGCATAAGTCTGAAGACAACTTTTTGCTGGAATCTGATTGGACAATCACCACGAGACTGCGATTTTACAAGGGCAAGGGCATCATACTTTTCGAAGTAGGCCACCCCATATATATGACTCACGGTCACCGTTTAAGGGCTATTTTCTCACTGCATTTGATTTCATTCAACGAATGTTTCATCGCCCAATATCATTGCCCGAAACATTTATATGAAGTACATCATGATAGCTCATAAGTGTTCTTTTTTGCCTTTGATGTGTCAGAATTGGATAGGACACAGAGTAGGCTGGCCAGCTCTCTGATACAGCTCTCTTTTCAGTGATTGATGTTGCACAATTCAATTTCGACGCCTCAAGATGTAATGCCGAAAGTTTTATTAGGATCATTGCCACCATCAACAGCACTCAGAACTTGAGTGAACACCCAATGGATTTTATTGGGTGGGACTGGGTAATAAACCGGCGGCTTAGTACAGACGCTCGGAGCGCATGAAGACGAAACACACATTTTCAGGCATATTATCGTGACACTATTAACCTTTTAGGGTCTCGCCTGTAGTCTCTTGTCATTCATGATTTCTCGAGGATGTGGATCACTAGAGGAAGGCGTTTCAGAGAATTTATCAAAAAAGGACCATTTTCACTCTGGAAGAAGTGAAATAAAAGTGGGATCACCGACGTATATCGATTCTAGTTTCTTTCCCTTTTCTATCTAAAGTCATCTTTATATCATTTAAACCATAAATATAGATAAAGACTTACAAGAGGGTCACTTTTAAAAGTCTATTTAAGGTAACATATCGTCCCTATTTTCACGAAGTGACGGTAGTAAGGAAAATCGTAACGCAAAGTGAATGCAATTTTGTTTCACTACCGTCACTTCGTGAAAACAGCGACGATATGTGTACAATAGCCATTTAGTGCTGATATTTTGTGATGCAATGTCACTAACTAAATACAAATTAAACATGTTTAATATATATATATATTGATAGTAACCGAGCAAAGGCTACGACAATGAACACAAGGAATATTCAAAACTCCTTCAAAGTCATACGTGAGAGTATGTGTGTTTTAAGTTCAGATGTGATAAATACCATTTCAATATCATGGTCAGATTGAATATGTATTCCCATTTCAAGAAAAATGACAAGCTGGCAAAAAAGTGCTAAAATTGCAAGAGCAATGGCATATGATAATGACCAAACCCATTTAAAGATTAACAAATAACCATATTTTGATGTAAGAACAACGTTTGGTAATGCAGGAAAAAACAGAATTTGAAAACCACCAACGTAATATATTGCACTTCTTGGCACTATAATACTTTAAATTTCATAAGAAACGCCCAATCATCCTTCAATAAAAGCTAGATACACATTGACAAAAGAGACACATATTGAGTGGTTGTTATATTTGATGAATGATTCACAGAGCTCACTACCACCACCAACACCTTCAATATAAACTCATCCTCCAACGTTTTCATTGTATGAGCTGTTGAAGAAGAAAAAAAAGGTATTCATTCATCGGAAAAGTTATTGGCAGCGGCTGGTATATGATAGCTTCCATCACTTCCTGAAATAGTCTGACGCGCTCTCGCTAAATGAAGAAAGTCTCGCGTTACAGAGCAAACTCCGGCAACATGGTGACTGCGATTTGTTGGTTCATAACTTCTAGGAATGTAACTTTCACAACGAGAGACGATGAATGCGTTTTGGTCATGTGATACTTCCTAGAACAAATTTCAGGAGTTGAAAATATCTCTCGATCATGTCACTGAATCCTTTCTGAATTGACAGGAGTAGAATGATATTCATTTCAATCAAAAGCTGGCATTTATTGTGGAAGGATCTTTTATAGCAATCATTTATCTAAAAGTAGCATATAGCGTGACCTGATCTTGACTCTAGCAATATTGAAATGTGATATTTGTGTTATTCATTTCAATCAAAAGCGTGCATTTGAAAGGATCTTTTATAGCATTCATTTGTCTAAAAGTAGCATATAGTTCGACCTGATCTTGACTCTTAACAATATTGAAATGTGATTTTTGTGATATTCATTTCAATTAAAAGCTTGCATTTGAAAGGATCTTCTATAGCAATCATTTGTCTAAAAGTAGCATATAGCGCGACCTTATCTTGACTCTAGCAATATTGAAATGTGATATTTGTCTGATTAACGACAAGCAAAATTGAGTAATTGTGATGGTTATAACCATGGGCGATAATGGTTGCACTTGAATCAAGATGACTTCTATTTTGCTGATTTCATAACTATATGGTGCAATGAAAACGATGATACTTTTTCCATCAATCACTAATTGTTGATTGTTTAGAAAAAATGACAGACATGGCAAACAGAGCAATGCGACATATGGTTGGTAAATCACCACATAAAGAGATCATATCTGCTTGGAGCCTGGAGAACATTAACACATATATTTAAACACAGAGTTAACACCCTTCTGTTTCCAAACAGACAATATATGATATTAACCCATTGGGTGAAGTTAGATATTGATATATCATGCCTTTATTATCAAAGACTCCAGTGCATGTAAGCTCCAGCTATATTATTAGTATACAACGATATCGGTTTCTTGGGTTGCTTGGTTTTTACGAGGTCATTGACCGGATTATTCCTGCTAGATCTGGGTTAATTTAGGTGGTGGCATATCTTGGACACCATTCATCATGTGAAGGGTTCTTCTATTATTAATGATGTTGAAATTGCTGGAATTGCTTGGGTGGGTTTTTGTGCATATTATTATTGGCATTGCATTGAGATTGGGTTCTTATTTTAGGTAACAGTGTATGTGGACCTATATATAGCGTTTTAAATATATTTGTCTCGCAAATTTAATGGTGATAATTTGGGGTTCCAATTATCAATCTATTTTTTCAAATTGTTCCTGTTATTTTTAAAAGCTTTTAATTTTCTTTTTGCCTCTTATCTATTCTCTCTCTCTCACTCTCTCTCCCCCATCTCCCCCATCTCCCTCCTTCTCACTCTTTCTCTCACTCTCTCTCAAATATGGTAAGCTTTTGAAACTTCATTGCAAATATGATATCCCATTATATCACAGGAAATATCCATGAAAATTGGAGAGAAAATGCATTCTTAAATGAGGAAAACATAGCATTTACTGTTCCTCATTTGTGCCCATCACGTCCCCACGCCCCCATATATTTATTCTCCGTCATATAATCACCGTCATAATCACCAGACATGCTACAATGAAGTACTCATGCTGATTGTTCACATTTTTAAAGCATGGCTTTGTAGTTTATTTGTCCAATTTGTCCAATGCGGGAGGCATTAAAAGCAAGCAAATTGTCATCTTCTAGATGACCCCAACATTGCGTGTCTAAAGGACTTCAGTCGTGGTATAGTCATGTGTACACTAACCTCACTCTTGCTGGTGCTTCAGCTGTTATGTTTAAGTGTCAAAATTGCTACGTTTCTCGTGAGCTGCCCGACACATTACCGCGGTGTCTGTAAACATGTCACCGGGTTGCCAATATTCATAGTCATGATTTTCCTTATATTTTTTATTTGAGTGCTTAAAAGCAAGGCCTTGAAAATTGAGAGGTTGAAACTTGTTTAAAAACTTGAAGGGTATGCTTTCATATTTTGAGAATTATCATAAATTGACGGCATGGAGTATAGGTACAAGGGAAAGCTCCTCATAGAATGGCCATTGATCTGCTTTGAGATTAAAACGAGATCTTTTGCTTTATTGATCACTGTGCCAAGTCAGTGGCGTATCCAGGGTTCTTTGATGAGGGGGGGGGGGCATGAGTATGTGTCCTTAATATCTGACAATTTAAAAAAAAATGTGAAAAAAGTTATGAAATTTGACACCCAGTGGGCACACCTTTTTTGCCAAGGACACATGCGTGTA